CAGATAGTTTATGGGCTGATTATATTTTTAAATTTATTTTTGTTTAAATTTATTTTTGTTTTTGTGTAAATAGACTTGCATTTATTTACTATATTTAATTATTATTTTGTGAGACAAGTTTGCATGAATAAAGTTTTGAGCTATCCTAATAACTTTAGATTTCTGTAATTCTATGAAATAATATTTCTCAAAAGAAAAAATATTTTAATTTTTTTTTGTATTTTTAAAAGATAAATTACTTAATTACCTTTTTAAATTATCATTAAATTTTATAAAATTATAATCTTATGATACATTTCAATTTTTTTTAAATTTTTTGATATTTTTTTTATCAACAAATATAAAAATGTAAGAGTCTAACCATATAAATCCAGCATAATTTCTATAAATCTCAAGGAATTGCAGTATTGGCAAATCGAAAAGTTAACGTACTTAGCCGTGTTATGTTTCTGGCCGGAAGTGTCTGTCCATTTACCCCTTAACACCCCACTGCCCCCCCCCCACAAAGTTTCCCTATTCCAGGAGCATCTGCCTCTTTGTCTGTTTTCCCATTTTCCTTCTGGCGTTTCCCTGACCCCGTGCTGACACGCCAAAGGAAAATCTATTAACCTCCAGTGACATATTGCCAACTCACACAGATACTTCCGCACGCACACACACACGCACTCGGTCACACACACGCACACACTCTAATGTGACACAATGCATATTTATGGCCCCATTTGTGCAAACTGTCGATAGATAGTCTTTTGGCCAAAAAGGGGAGCAACTGCGCGGGGTTAAGGCAGTGAGGGGTTAAGGAGTGGCCAGTGAGCTATGGATAATCATAAAGAATCCGAAGCCAACTCGATATTTACTGGCTAGAAAAAAGGTAAATTGAATTGACTTATTGTATTGGGACAATTTTCGAAATTTATTACCTGCAAAAGTTTCTTAGCACAAATATAAATGAATTATACAATGCGCAACTAATTTATAAATATATGTTTAAAAATGATTTTTTTTTAACTAATAAATATTTGTGTATAACCTATTAATACTACAATGTAAACAAGAAAGGAAGCTAGCTTCGGCCAGCCGAAGCTTATATACCCTTGCAGATCATTCCTATTAATTAACAAATCGCAAAAATGTTCAATTTTCTAATATTTCTCATTAATTTTCCGCTCGTTCCTATGGCAGCTATATGATATAGTCGTCCGATTTTGATCAAATTAAAATTGAAATTCGGAAATATTTAAAAAGAGTCATATCCTAGAGTAGAAGATAATACAATAAAAACCAAAGAAGCTAGAATTTATTTCTATTACTTTTTCATTACTTTTCCGATCGTTCCTATGGCAGCTATATGATATAGTCGTCCGATTTTGATTAAATTAAAATTGAAATTCGGAAATATTTAAAAAGAGTCATATCCTAGAGTAGAAGATAATACAATAAAAACCAAAGAAGCTAGAATTTATTTCCTATTACTTTTCCATTAATTTTCCGATCGTTCCTATGGAAGCTATATGATATAGTAGTCCGATTTTTTAAATAATTAATTCGAAATTCAGAAATATTTAAAAAATAACATCCCCAAAAGTAGAAGGTAATATTTCAAAAAACACCGAAGCCAGAATTTTTTAAAGTTTTTTTTTTCCGATTGTTTCTATGGGAGCTATAAGATATAGTTGTCCGATCCGGTCGGCTCCGACATATATACTACCTGCAATAGAAAGAAGACTTTTGCGAAAGTTTTGTCCCGATAGCTCCAAAACTGAGAGACTAGTTTGCGTAGAAACAGACAGACGGACAGACGGACGGACAGACGGACAGACGGACAGACGGACATGGCTAGATCGACTCGTCTTGTGATGCTGATCAAGAATATATATACTTTATGGGGTCGGAAACGTCTCCTTCACTGCGTTGCAAACTTCTGACTGAAATCATAATACCCTCTGCAAGGGTATACAAATCAGAGGAAAATTAATTTTTTTAAATTAATTTATTAGGTTTTGGCGGCATACATTTGGGCGACGGTATTTAATTTTTGCATTCAAAAGTATGCTATGCTGTTTTTAATTTAGCTCAGCCTTGAACCTTAAACCTAATCAAAATTAATTCTCTTTAAATAAAATATATATATATATATATAAAAATTGAGCTGGCAAGAAATATACAGGCATTTTTCGAAGTAAATTTAATATCTCCTTTCCCTCCACCTTTTTTTAGTACTTTTTTCCCATGTGAAGTCCAAAAAACAGAAAGCAATTGCGAGAGCTTACCGAAAACAGCGCAATATGCGCACTCATTGCCCAGATGTCACCTACGGCGACGGGGGCGGGTCGAGGAAATGGGGGCGTGGCACATCTCCAGCTTGCAGCTTGGCATTTAACGCATTGTCCTTTTAGCCATATTGATGATGATGCCAAATGACACCAAATGGCAATGGTGGGCAAGACAATGACACCGTGGCTTCCAGCTAGGATTTTCACTATCACTTGCATGGTTCCCCTCTTCACGGCCACTCAATTTTTTGTAAACTGCAAAAAATCATAGGGAAAATGTGTTTGAATCAAGACACAATTTTTATAAATAAAAAAATTAAATTAAATTAAATTAATGTTGAATTTCGTTATTCAGCAAAAATTTCTTGATTCTAAAATGTATTAATATTATTTTAAAATAAAGAAAAGTATTTTTTATCAATACAATTAAAATAATAGCATTTTAAATATGCAGACCAATGTTATGAACATGTTTACCATTCATAATACGATAAAAAAATAAAATATAAAAAATAATAAAGAGATCAATTAAAAAAGGTGTTTCTCATCAGTTCCTTTTTTTATTTAACCTATAAAAGAATATAATATAAATAAAATGTATTTTTATATTTGTAGCTCCAACTTAAGTTTTTGCAGTGTCCTTTCTTTTTCATTTTTTCCTCCTGCCCCACTATATCCCCTCTTGATCCTTCGCCATCTCATGCGTTGTTGTCGCAGTTGTTTCCATGTTGTGTCTGCCATTATTTCGTGGATTTTTGGCTGCTTTAGCATTTCACTTTGATAGTCCTCGACCTGCGGAGAGATGGGCAGGGATACCGAGGGGTTTATTCCGCAGACATCGTCTTCTCCGTCCGATTCCGGATTCCTTTCATGGCAGCTTTCTCGCTTTATCTGGTGACAGTCATAAGTTTTGCTTTGCCTTCCATTTTTATTTCGCTCTACAGATGATACTCCCCCTAGTAACTCATCAGCGCGCATATGTTCGCTTTTCGGAATTTCTTTCTTTCTGTCTTTTTGCTTCCTTTGGTAGCCACATTGAGTAAGAAATTTATTTTTATTTGTTAGCTGCCTTGGCTGCTTGACTTTTTCCTGTTGCTGTTTCCGTTTGTTGTAAATTTTAGTGGATTATCCTGCCGATTCCGTCTGCTGCTTTAGCCTCCCATTCATTTGGTGGATTTATTCAAACTTCACTAAACACAATCAATTTACGAATTATTATTATGCCGAAGAAAGTTCTATGTGGGCCCAGTGCAAGGAAGTTTGTCAGTACCCATTAATGGTGCTAGAGAAAGGGGGATATAGTATTGGGAATTTGTTATTTATATTCGAAGAGATAAATAATTTTTTTAAGAAAACATTTTGTATTCGTTTTTGATGATTTTCGGTGATTTAAAAATTATAACTTCTTAAGAAGTTCGATTTTAAAACTAAATTTAAAAATTTGAAGTTATTACAACTTTCTTTATTTGTATTTACTCTTTATTCAGTTTCTTAATATAATAATTATAATTATAAATTAATATAATAATTTTTATAATGGGTATTCTTTATTTGTGTTCCTGGACTTTTATATTTTTCCCCTTATACTTTACTTCATCTCTGGGCCCTTCTTTGATTTTCTTGTCGCCATTTGTTGGCGAGTCCTTTTTCGCATTTATTGCATTTGTTACGCAGGACGAGCCCTCCTACTCCCTTTCACTTTCTCCTTTCTCCACCCATTGAGAGCACTTTACGCTTATGATCTGCTTAGCCTGACCGGCCCCGCCCCCTGAACGGCCGCCCCCTTCTATATATATATACTCCTTTCGGATCTGGCTCATTTGCCAGCCGCCTCTTAGCTTTATGTTTATGATTTCCATTTCCATTTCATGTGTGGGCGTGGCGCCCTGTAATTACCACTTAAAGTCCACCCACAAATGGGGGCAAATCCAATGGAGAGGGTGGTGAAAAAATAAAGGAAGAACAATGGGGCTGTAATCATAATAAATAATAAATGAATGAATTTTATTGCTTAATGGATTGCAGTTACACTCGGCGGAGTTGAAGCTCTGCCCTGGGTCCTCTCTCATCGGCATTAGTCACACTTTATTTATGAATTATGATACGCTTTTCGGGTTAAACGACTTGTGGTCGGCATATTGAATTAGTAAACGGATTGGGCTCAGTCATTCGAAAATTGCGGCAAGTAAATAAGGTCTAAATCTATTGAATTGGGTTTGAAATTCGATCTTTTCGTTTTTAGTCCGAGTGAGAATTAACAAATATGTTTCTATATACTGTAAAAAACCAATGAAAAATAAGTATCTACAAATTGAAGATATGCAATGCTTTTATTATTCGCAAAAATGTGACTCACCCAATGAAAATGTTAAGACAATGTTGAGTTCAATCATTTAGGTTGAGAGATTCATATTAAATTTACCATATCATTTCAATATTTTCTTTGTAAAAATGAATAACTTTAATGTATGCACATAAACAATTTATTATTGATTATAAATATATTTAATAAGTTATAAAAATCTTAATATTTATTATATGTTTTTATATGTTATGTTATAAAACACATTTATTTGGACAACAAACAAAAATTTTGTTCAGTGCTTGTACTTATATAACGTCAATGTGCTAAAGTATGCATTAACCCCGGTCACTGAATATTTAACGAATAAAACAGTCAGTGCTATTCGAATTTAGAATCGTTTTTCAGTCCAACGGGATCTATCGTGCAGTCATGTGGTGTATCGGTATATTTTTCAGTCTCTTGGTTTTAACCACTTCAGCCGATCAAAATGGAAACGATGAGTATTCTCTCTCGTCTAAAAATATTGCGGACCTAAGATTAAAGATGTCTGCTATGGGGTAATTAATTATTTTATTGTTGCAAATTCGACATATTTAAAAAAAATTTAAGAAATATTTTAGAGGGATTGGAGAGAAATCGCGACCGACTTGAGCAGAAATCATTTCCCTTCAGCTGCGCCGCGTCTATGTGGAGCACAAAATTGGTGATCCGTGTGCCCGAGTACAGTGAATATCCCTTTAAGGTGGTCTGTGATCAGCGAGATTTCGGTGGTGGTTGGACGGTATTTTATCGGCGCATCGATGGAAGCGAGGATTTCAATCGCAATTGGACCGAATATAAAAATGGTTTCGGCCATCTAAACAATGATTTCTTTTTGGGTTTTGATAAGCTTCATGCGATCACATATTCAGAGGCCCAGGAACTGATGGTCCTTCTAGAGGACAGCAATACTGGCACCTACAGGATTAGGTACAACCACTTTAAAATCGGTCCCGAGCAAAGCAATTACACTTTGGAATCGCTGGGATCATTTTTGGGTGAAAGCTATGTCGTAGATTTTTTGACTGATCTTTTGGGTATGCAGTTCAGAACTAAAGAATGCTACAACGATGCTTCCGCCAAAAAATGTGTCGTAAAATTTCATGCAACTGGATGGGACCGATATTGTGAAGGAACAACATATCCAAAGTAACGACATAAAAAAAGGGGTATTACAAACATCTCCTCAAACCAAAAAAAAATCTGTAGAGTTTTGAGTACAATGATTTGATTTTTAAAGAGTTTGAGCACCGAAATATTTTTTTTTTATCGAAATATGGTTTGGTTTGGTTTTTGGAACACCCCCAAACAACAAAATCCGATTTTAATTAAAATATTTTCTTTCAGCGGCTTGTTTGGTGTAGATGACAAAGTAATGGACGAAAGACACATGAGAATATTGTCTCCCTATCATTCAGCTCCTCAGCGGAAGATCACAATGATGATGATAAGGCCACAAAATTCATATCTAAACAGAGATTTTTAATATCTATACATTTTGTAAAATTAAACATTTTATAAAGTTAACCTAAAGAATTACAAGCCTTTTTACAGAAATTTACATTTACAGTAACAAAAACAGATCAATTTATCTCAATATAGGGGGATACTTGCAAAATGTTAACAATTATATTTTATATTTAAGAAACCCTTATAGATAAAAGCAAGCAGTTAAATGACGATTTTAAAAGAAATATTTATTGTGGGTATAAATTACTGAAAATTCTGAAAATGTATTCATAAGTCGTTAACTTTTTTCTATGCGATTTTCTTGCTAGAATGAAGAATATTTTCTAGTCGGATTTCCCTTAACCCCTCTGCACCCCACTTAAGGATTTATTTATATGTGTTTCGGTGGTCAGCACACGACAATTTCAAAGGCCACCCGGCCCACTTTCGTCGCTCGTCAGCCGTTCCGCCTCCGAATTTGAGTAATAATGATTCATTGCCTATTAGCAGTTAATTAGACTTAAAAGGGGGCTTATACTTTGCGGCCCGACCGCCGGGCTAATGAAAAACTATTGGAGCCAAGTCGGCTTTGAACTCGTTGCGAGCCATTACGAGAATATCCTGTGAAGCGGTAACTGCAATTAGACGGAGGACCCCCAGAAAATCTTGGCCAGAATTTCGGTCATGGACCATTGAAGGCAATTACCAAAAATTTTCGGGAATGGGATTAACACTCGGCCAGGGACCGTAAATAACTAATATCTGTTTATGATTATTGCCAGTCTGTGCCACTCAATTGGATTAGCATTTCGCATTTACCATTTCGCATTGTTGTCCGTCTGGGTTTCTTCCTCTTTTTCGGGCCGAGAGAGTTGTCATTGGTTTTTATGCCTATCGTCGTTGTCGTGGCCATTAGGCCAATATTGATATGGTCTATGGGTATTATTTCCCCTTTCCCGGCTTTTACCGCCTTTCCCGGAAAATCTGTGAGGTGTCATGTTGGTTTAAATGCCCGGGGAATCCGGGAAATCCTTGACATGCCGCTGTGGCAGTTGAAGTTTACGATAAATGCCCGAGTATCCGTCGTTGGAGCCTTTCCTCTAATGCGCTCTAAATATTTTTTTGTTAGTCCCTTTCCCCCAAAGGGGAGCTCTTCAAGACATTGAAAAATCCGTTTAGAAATAAACTTATGTTTCTTGGGCTCCGCTTCGATGGGGGCTCTCCCTTTCGAAGGATTTCGGGCAAGGATTCGGTAAAGGATTGAAAGCCGAAGGGATCACCGTGGAGACATCGTCTCAATTGCTTGCCAGGCACGTTCCTAAATTCAGCCAAATTGACAAACAAAAACCCTTCGCTTAGCTGCACTCGCGATAAATTTATTTACTTAGAAATACAAATTTTAAATGAATAATTACTAGAGTTAACACGAATGTCTTAAGATTATTATTGAAATTTATTATTTTTGTACCTTTTTCGAGGAAAAATAATAAGTAGATGAATATAAAAACAAAATTTTCAGATCTTAAAAATATGAAGAAAAAAAAGTCTAAAAAATGTTAAAAGTGTTAAATTAATTTGTTAAGTGCTTGAATCTATTTTTGTTAAATGTATTATTCAATATTTGATCAATATTTATATTTTTGAGAAGTTTTATCTACAAGTTAATCAAAAAAATTACTGTGAATTGTAGTCTAAAAAATAAATTTGTATATATTTATTAACGATAATTTACTTTACCTTATATTGTATCTTTTTTATATGTAAATTTAAAAGTAACATATTTTTCCAGTGCAATCAAAATAGGGCTCATCAAGTGCGTGTGTTTTGGGGGAAAATCATTTGAGGTGGAAGCGAAATGCCAAAGCCAAACGCAATTTCCAACAAATATGGATTGGATTCACTTACAGGCAATCGACCCCCAATCCCCCTCCTTTAAATTGCCTGCCCAGGGGCGTAGAAAAGGGGGTGCTAGCAGGGGATTCATGGATCATTGCCCTGGCAGCGGTAGTCGCTGCTCTCTAATTGACTTTGCATGCCATAATGCTTTTTAGCCATGTTTAAGCGTCATCATATTAACGGCCCAAACCGACACACACAACCATAGACCGGAATACAAACACACGCATAGACATACTCATATTGACATGGACACCAAGTCATTTAAATTGAGTTTCGATCAGGTTTTCCTATGTGGGTAGAGTATTTATTTACATCAGATATAATTCCTTTATAATAATACTAAAAAATGTAGGCAAATAACTGAGGGTTTTTTTTTAATACTAAATACTTGATACTACTGTTTTAGAGAATACAAACATTTTAAAAATATAATTTTAACAACGTGAAAATATATTTAAAAACGAAAAAAATTATATTTTTCAATTAGAAATATTTTCCTGAGAAAATAAAAAAGCTCTTAAATTATTACTTTATGTTGTTACTGAATACTCCCAAAACTTCTAGGGTATTTTAACTGCATTTCAATTCGCCTGCTTCAATTTGTCTGTTTAGTTTTTCAATTCAATTAAATGCGTTCCACATTTTGGGCTCAATTGTTGTTTGCACGCATACACTGGCTACGGAAAATTCGCGAGTCTCGTTGCATTTTTATAGCCCACACTTTTGGGCCTGGTCGACTGCACAGTTAAGTAGCCAAAGCGATGGACACGAAACGGAAATGCACTGGAAAAAATCGTATCAATGTTTCCACAGTCCACATAGTTCACATAGAATTTCGAAGCTTATAAATATAATTTATGAAATAAATATTTCAAACTTAATTTTTTAAATATGTAAAGCAATTGGCTTTTAATACTTTCTATATTTTCTTGCAGTGTTTAACATTGTGTCTGTACAGCTGCAGCTGCTGTCGACGTTGTTGCTTGGTTTTCTGGTTTGGTTCGTTGCGAAAACTTTGTTAACTTTGGACTGACCCCGCCCATATTTGACTGCTCCACTTCCTCCGCCCACCGCCCATTTCACTCCACCTACTCAAACCAGCCACCCACTGAAACCACCCCCCGTTAACCCACTCAACTTGGTTGACAATATTTGCCAAAACATTTGTTGTTGCTGCTGCCGGGGGATCGAGTCAATTGAATTTAAGTGGCTGCAACAGCAACGAAGTCAATGACATCGCCCGGCCACTTTTGCGGTCCTCAAATATGTTGCATAGTTATTGGCCAACTCAACAAACGCTTTCTCGTATTTCGTATTTCGGATTTAGGTTTTACGTTTTCGGCTTTTGGGTTCGCTGTGTATTTTTATTTTAGCAGCCGAGCATCATCAATTTTCATTGTAACGCGATTAGTTTAGCAAGGGGACGACTGGAAACGGATATGAGACAGCGAGGCTAACTTCATTTTTCCGACCGAAAACGCTGATGACCATAAATGCCAAAAGCAGCGGAGCAATCTCCTCGCCAGGGATTTTATAAATGATGAGTACACTCGGAAAAAAAATTATATTTTTATGACAATTTAGAGAACAATAAATAATAATCAAAGAAAAATATAAAAAAAATATTAATACCTATTTAAAAATTATTTAAAAATATTTTATGAAATACATTTCTGAATTAATTAATAAACTTTTTGTGACTAGGCTAAACATGTATTAATAATATATTATTAAATTTATAAAAATGTGTTCTCTAAGAAATTAAGTGGCATAGAATATATTTTTTCCCCCTCAAAGGAATGCATTATTGTAAATAATAAAATCTCCTTTTCACAGCAGTTGGCAAACTGGCCTTTTTTCAGTGTAACATGCTTTAGCTGATATTCTCGCACCGAAAAATTCCAGGCATCTGCGTTATGTTCACGGCGTATCATTTTTCTATGGGCCATGTGTAATTTATGCTCCATTTGTTGGCCGCCTCTCTTGTTGCTTTACTTTCACAATTTTCGCCTATTTATTGTGTGGCCATTTCTATATAATCTGTACGGTCTCCTATTGTTTGCTTTTATATTGGGTGGAAAAGGGGGCGGCTGTGAGGGGGGCGGGACCATGATAGACACATGCTCTTTTGATTTATGAATGCAAACGAGCTACAGAACACCAATAAAAGCAACACAATCAACACGGGCCAACAAAAAATCTTTATTCTCTTTCCCTACATTGAAATAGGAATCGTTTTTCTTGTTCGGCCACACGCATTTAAAGCAATTAGTCTAAAAGTGTGCTGCCTTTAATTTCATTAAGCCCAGGTAAAGGCAAAAAAAAAAAATACCCTGGAATTTTAAAAAGGTTTATTAAGATACTTTGCGATGTTGTTAAAATTTGATTTCAATATTTTAAGCTATAATTTGAAATGATTATTTATATTTTTTGATGAAGAATAAAAATAAAAATAATTATAGGTTGCACAGGAAATTTACATTTAATAATCAAATTTCTTTAAATAAATTGAAGAAATTAAATAATTAGATTTTATAAATTTTGTTGATTTTTAAGAAACGCAAAATAAATCGATTTGAATTTTCAATTACATTAAGAAATTTTTGTAAATGTAGGCATTTAGTGTATTATCCCCATTTATTAATATTAAAATTAAAAGAGAACAAACTCCAGGATAACCAGGTGGTTTCATCACCAATCTGATTGTATTTCGCCACTTTGTTGCAATTCGTTGCAAAAAGTGCAACTCAATCCAAGTCAAGCCGTTGCCGCAGTTCTAATGAAGCAATTTTCGTTAAAAGCAGTCACCACAGCAGCTTTTCCCCTTCCCATTTCCTCTTTCCCCATTTCCCCTTTCCCCATTGCCCCCTTTCACTTTTCCAAGTATGTGGGGATTCGTTTTCAACATTTTTAGTTGCTTCGGCGCGTGTTTGTTTCAAAAAGCTCAAATTGCGAGTGCCAGGAACAAAATCCCGACCGGGGAGGCCAAAGAAAAGGAATTACAGCTGACTCTGGCACTGACTTTTCGCAATTATCCAGCGCACCGAATGCCCCTGGAAAATCCCCCAGAAAACTCACCACCCCCTTTTCCCTTTTTTCCCGGCTACGTGGGAATTTATTGATAGCGATATTTTGTTAGAGGATCCGGGGATTCGGGGGCCTGGAAATGTGTGCTAAGTGCATTTTACATTTCCGGTCAATGGCGCTAACCTCACGAAATCTTCGGAACTTACTTTCATGCACTGCGGGAATTTAGGAAACTATAAATAAACATCTTTCTTTTTTTTATGGCAGTCCGATTGATTATTAACATTATGTTTGTTTATACTTATTTTAAATTTGTTTATTTGTGTTTATATATCTTTGGGGTTCCTATATATAGCGTCTGCGAAGATATGTTCAGAATTAGTAAATGGGCTACATTCGCCCTACGCAGTTCTAGGCTCGCATAATGTTTAAGTTCGGAATGTATTTTTTGTACGCGTTTGTCGCCTACAACCTGCACGGAATGGTTGAATCCCAGGATAATAGGGATTTAGTGCGCGATCTAAAGGATCCTGAATCAATGCGGACTTTATACGATCATCTGCAGCAACAGTTTAATTATTTGGGTTTCCTTTTGAAGAATGAAATCGAGAACATAAGAAAAGAATCTATAAAAAAGCTGGATGAAATGCAAAAAGAAACATTGTCGATTCTGAGAGGAACACAGGCCAATATGGACAAAATCCAACAAGACGGAATATGTGTTCTTACTGATGCCCCCAATCAATGTGGGGCTTTCTGTCTGGCCGCCCAGGGACGTCTCTTCGATCACAACTACGAGGTTCAGCAGCAGTTGAAAGAGCTTTCTGAAAAACTAAATGAAACTCTAACCAAGATGGACAGTGTTGAAAAAGAAACGCAGAGCCAGATCGAAACTAAACTGGATATGAAAAGCTCACCTGGTTTCGAAAAGATCGGATCTAGATATTTTTATATCGAAAATGATGTTAAACGAAATTGGACTGAAGCTAGATCTGCCTGTCATAAAAAAAGATGTCATTTAGCTGCGATTCAAAATTACGAGGAGATGGACGACATTTTAGAAAAACTTAACTTAAATAATTGGTATTGGCTAGGAAATAATACCATCGGCAATCAGGAATGTGTTGCTCTTTATGAAGGACGTGTGCACGACAGGTGGTGTGATGAACAGTTTTATTCCATTTGCCAGTCAGACGATACCGTTTAATTAATGGGCTATATACACTCGAACCACATAAAAATTTGCCTTTTTTACGACTTTCGTTTAGTATATAATATTAAGAATACTAAACGAAAATTCATTCAGATCGGCCTGGCAAAACAGGGGGAAACTTAAGCTACAATTTTTTAAAGCCAAAAAACCAAAAATTAAAAATTTTTCCTTATGTATAAAATAAAAATCATGTCCTTATTATTCTGTATATTTTCTAAAAACTATATATTTTCTTAATTGAAAACTAATAGATTATGGATTCACACATATTTTATGAAAATAAGAACAAAATAAAAGCTTGAAGTTACAATTTAAAAATATATTTATTTGTAATATTTTTTTGAGTGTTGTCTTCACTTTTTCCTCGGAGTCTCTTTAGTCTGATTACATTTCTTATTATATTCGAGCAGTTTTCGCTTTGGTTTTCATTTGCTTTTCATTTGCCATTTGCGTCACGCTTCGTTTTGACCCCGCACTTTTCCGCTTTTCCCCTTTTGGGGACCAGGCTATTGAGACCTCAACGATCCTAGATGGTACGTGTCCCGGCGCCCAAGGGTTAAGGGCGAATAAAAGAACGCCAAAGAGACACTTGGAAGTGTCGACACTTTCGAACTTTTGCTGTTTTCTTCCCCTGTTCTTTTTTCTACAATTGCTGCGTAATTTTTATTAGCTCTGAATGAGCATCTCAAGTGGCGCTCTATTTATCTTGGAAAGCCCCACGCTCATTTCCAAATTGCCAACATAAATTTATTTGTTTGGCAAAACAATTTTGCCCCGCCGCCCGCGTCACTTTGATGCGTGTCTCGTTTTACATTTTTTGACAATTTCATTGTTCCGTGGCTGCCTTTTATTTTGAAAGATAATTTGTGTGAGGGGGAGTCACGTCATATGGCAAACAAAAAATAAAATAAAAAAAGAAGGGGGCGTGGCAGCAATGCTTTTATGCCCAAATAACAAGCCATAAACATTTGCCATTGCCATTTGCCCATTTTCGCGCGCGCGAGCATTTTAAAAAAGACTACAAAAACGGAGTAACAAATAAAGAATGATAAAGAATTTTATTGCTCACACGCAAGACGCACTGAAAAAAATGTAGATAAACTTTAGCTTATTATATACGGAATATTTATAAAAGGGTGGATGAGCTCTAACACCTTTTCTTCAGATTAAATTAATAAATATACTTTATACATTTGAGTAGTTTTCTAGAAGTTGAAAATAAAGTTTTTAAATATTTCTTCAGTTCTTTATTCAGCAGCAGAGATATCTTGTATTTTAATATTTCTTCCAGTGTACAAAAAAATAAACAAATAAAGCAAATGGCTTTGTCGCATTAGGATGCAACCCCTCTATTTATTTACTACAAATGGCCGGCAGTTTGATATTTTGATTGTTTGCCAGCCTCAGGTATTTTCAGTATTTTTAGTCCTTTGATTAGTTGACACATTTTATGTGTCATTCCCTGGCAAAAGGATGCTTAAATCCCAATTGAATTTCACATCTCAAATTGTTGCCTAAATGTAAAAGTGACTGACAAAGCTGTTTCGTTTACCTAAAGGATATTTTTTTTAATTTTTACCTTGGGGGTAGTTTTCTGTTATCATCAAAAGATTTTACTAATAACAAAAATATTACAATTGTTTTTAGTAATTTATTTTGAATAATTTATTTTGAAAAACAACTAATTTTTAATGGATTTAAATATGATGAAAAATAAGGAGATTTAAATGAAAAACTAACATTTAATTAATTTAAAGATATGTTTGAAAATTTTAATATATTTATTTTTTGAAAACTAAAAATTTCATGAATTTTAGAGAAGAAGCTAAAATAGGTAAATACAGAACTTTGAAACCCTAATCCATCAAGTATTTTGCACTGCCAATTAACCTCAGAGACCAATTCACAGACAATTACCAATTTGCACTCGATTTGGGACAAATGCTGTTCCTGGGGGAATTGCCAAGTATTTTGATGGGTTAAGTTCTGGTCAAAGCGAAACTCATGCTGCTGCTCCAGTTGGCCGATGAGCTCACCATAAATTAAGCATATAGATATGTGCTCAACTATAGTTATCCCCCAAACATATATACACACACTCACACACAATCTTGTTGAGGAGGGAGGAACATGTCTGACCAAACATTTTGTATAGGACAATTTCTAAATGGAATTTAATTTCCGGATTAGAATAGACATTTCATGCATGCTGTGGATGGGAGGGGTAATGCACTGGACTAACTTCTCGTCTTGCCAGGATTTCTCCTACTTTTCCCTCCCCCAGCATTTAATTTTCCAGATTTACCGTTCAGCAACACGGAAAATAAAATTTGTTAATTTAAAATTTATTTCATAATGTTGTAAATATTAATATTGAAGGAAGTCGGATGATAAAGTTTGGAACTTCAATAAAAATATATTTATAGAAAGCTAGAATTTGATGTTTACCATCCACTAGAATTTATCTACAACAAAAACAATAAAAATTTCTAAAAATTCTTACATAATTCATTTATTTTCTTTTTAATATTTTTTCTAAGTTACTAAAATTAAAAAAGCCATTAAAGCTAAGCTAATAGACGAAATAAAACTCTTTTTTAATTTTCTTTTCTTTTAGAATACACCTTTAGAAATATTTTTTCAGTACACTGCTCATTGAAGCTTCTTTTCAGATTCCTCAATGCCTCAATGAACAATCACAACAAAAGGGTTTGTCTGTTTGTGTGTGTGTGTGGTAAGGGGGCGGCAACTGGTGGGCGTGGTAAGTAAAATGTTCCAAAATTTGCGGCTTCTTTTTCTCCACCTTCTGTTTTTGGTCTTTTGGTTTTTGTTTAAAATTTCCAAACAATTTTCCCAGCAGATTTGATGAGTTGAGAGTGGTTAGATCATGATTGGCTTGGAAAATCGAAGGGGGAAAATGGGGAAAATCCGCCCCCTTTGTGGGCTGTATTTATGCCCCCAACTGGAGTTATTAATGTAATTTGATTTTGCCTTTAGCAGTTTGTTTTTGAGGACACTGGCCTCTCAAAAATTATGATGATAAAGACGACGATACTTTTGATGAGTTGACAATGCAGAACAGCAGCCCAGTCAAGGGTTAAGGCTCACTTTATGGAGAAGTAAATTTTTTAATAGAGTGTAAATTACCGGAAACACAATTAAAAATGTTCCAGGCCGAAAAATATCAGCAAAATGAGTAGACAAAAGCTAAACGCAAAACAATAGGGCAAAAATCAAAATGAGGACGGCAAAGGCTTTAGGTTGGGTTTAATTAAGGGTTAAAGGATAGGGTGCAGGCTATGCCCAATCGTCAAGAGAATGAGGTAAGCAAGGGGTTAAGGACTCCGGCTACTTAACACCCTCTCAAAACCCACCCCTTAATCGTTTTCGGAATTTTCCAAGACGCTAAACGGTCGACAATGACGCTGACGTTGGCCTAGGGCAGGCAAAAATTGTCGGAAACACCTTGTTTTTTGACTGCCTCCGAAGCAGCAGCTTCTACTATATATTTTCCGACATGTTTTTTATTTCCCCCGTCTCCCCCCTCACATAACCCCATCTAAACGCTTTTCCACCCACGGCTATTGTTGTTGCCCCCTCACTCACATAATATTTCCATTGTTTATAAAACAACGGCGAAAACAGGTCGCCGGCGTCTGATGAAGCGAATGTTTAAAGGAAAACATTAAGTCTGTGGTGGAAAGGTGTTAGGGTTGGTGGGAGAGTGGGTTAATAATTCGCTGGGTAAGTAGAGACGCTACCCGATTTTACAGGCTCTTTAAAGGCTGTCCGAAAACAATATACAAATAAAATAGAATTAAACAAATTAAAAAACTAAAATCAGTAATTTATCAAAAAAAAAAAAAAAAAATAAATAAATATAAATTGTAATAATTATTTTAAAATGTCAATTATTATCTAATATTATTTCCTCTTTTTTAATTCAATTGAAAAATTAAAAAATCTTTCGACTTTCTTCTTCTTAACAATGTTAAAAAATATGAAATATTGAGACTTATTTTTGATAGGTCGCATAAATTTACCAAAAGGATTTTTTTTAACTACAAACTACAAAACGAAGGAATGAATGAGTGACTCAACCTGGGAAAGTAGAAATAGACAGAGACGGCTATAGAAGGGTGGGAAAGAGAGGTAGCTAGCGAGTGGCCGGGGAAGTTTAATATGAATTATTATGTGCAGAAAAGTTTTATGATGCTGCTAAACCTGGTTAGAGACCTTTGTTAAGGTGGCAATAAAGCACACACAGCAGACTAGAAATTAGTTCTCAGGTCTATGGTTTAAATACCCTTTAACATGTGTAAAAATATTTATAAATTTGTTAGGCTTTTCATATTTGTCAATTCTTCCCTTACTCAAATATTTTAATCATTTTAAAATTAAATAAAAAAGTTATATAAATAAGAAGTTGACTGATAAACCTCAACTGTTGATAGAAAATAAAAGGCACTAACATTTAATATTATAAATAAGGGTATACAACGTTTTCGGTTTAGATGATAGATTCTGCAAACAACTTAGTTAGGTCTTAACCTGCCCCGTGTATCTGTTAGATACAATTTGTTTTAATTGCACAAAGTAGTTGGCAACCCTGGTTCGCAGCACCAGCAGCGGGGCCAATTAATTCTCATTTAACTGCGGGTCTCAGCTGGGATTTTCGGACAGTGCAGTGACAACTTTCCGTTTGTGCCGCTGTGCTTCTTAAACGATCTTTATTATATCCGTTTCCCAGCAAATTAACCGGAGGAAACCCATTTGCATTGTATTATTAACTATCCGGCAAACTGTAATGAATTTATGTCTGCAACAAAATAAACGTAGTATTAATTTACAAAAGAAAGAAAATTGGTTTTAATTTGATTTCTTAAAAAATAAGGCAGACTAAATTTTGCAAAAATTAAAGGAAAATTCATTCCAGAAAATTAAACAGAAAACAAGTTATTTTCTTTAGTAAATTTATTTCTTTAAATAAACACTTTC